TTGAGGATAAATTTGTGATCACCTGCTAAAAACATGTCAAATATGTATTTATTTAGCGAGGATAACCGTAAATTATAAAAAGTCGTCGAACCTAAGTGTCAATCCTTAAGCTTAATAACAATAACAAAAAAGATTATACGGCTTATAAACGAAAGACTATAGCTGTGAAAACTACCAATGAACAACTCCATATGTATTTGCTGGGATTAACCATTGTTATAAATATTTAAATAATGACAATCGAAAGAATAGAAATTTTATTTGACCGTGTTGAGCTCGAATTGTATAACGGAGAACGAAAAAATTGAACTGAGCGTTGCTAACATATTGCAGTTCTCAAAGAAAATTATTACGAACAAATAAGAATTAGTTAATTAGTAATATTAGTATTTGATATACTTTGTTTTCGAAAAGCATTCATGAAAAACTTACTGGCAATTTTTATGATTTTACCCTCTTTTGTTGTTATTATTGCGGCAAATCGTCTTTTAAGTTAGTAATCAAACTATACTATTTTATTACTGCATAAGAAATATTATACTATTTTATTACTGCATAAGAAATATTAGCTCCAACTCGGGAATATAATTGCTCAGTGGATTGTCGCTCAGTTTGGAGCGTCGATGCTGAGGTTCGATTTCCCACAGGAGTACGAAAATCCGAGTGGTGCTGCTGACTCATCTTTATTCCTATCGCCAAAGGACTCCCTGGTATATTGCCCAATGCAGCCAGCGGAGCGAACTTAACCAGTAATCGTAAGGACTCCTAAAAAAAAATTAGTTCCAACTAGTTCAATATTTTTTACTATACCCTAATAGCTTTTTATTATAAGTAAAACTTCCATTCATTACTAGCTAGATGAATGATATGATATTTGCTCATTGCAGTGCTTAATCTGTTGACTCAAATGATTTTTTATAACGAAGTAAAGAAGAATTTATTTAAAGAAATTAGAAATTTGCAATTATTCTGGTGCTGAAAATTTTTTTCAATTTTAAGATTTTAAGAAAACGAAAAAAAAAATTTTTCTTATTTTGCAATGAACTGTTTCATAAAATCATACTCATTTGCTCATTATTAATCAAATTAAAATGGAAAAACTTGTTTCACATTTGATAACTTGAAAAGCAATATGGTTATAGAATTTGAAACAAACGCATTAAGCATTTAAAGAAGAGATTCACTTTTTCAACTATAAATCAAATTGCCTTAGCTTTAGGCATTTTAAATGGTACATCTATTGCGATACTAACACATGGCTGTTGAGCATAACCGAAGCAACGTATCACTCTGCCATCTCCTTTGTCGCTTTTTGATTTCCATATAAGCGATAAGCTTACTCCCAGATAAGCGATAAATTTATCGTAATATCTGCATTCCTAAAATAAATAAATTATTAAATAATTGAAAAACTAAACAGCTAATCACTATATAATCATAGCTGGTAGATGCAACAGCCATAGGCTTAGGACTACTGTCAATAATCTCAGCTCTCGAAAAAAGATTTTATATGATATTTCACTTGTATTAATAAAATTGATAAAATTGTAAATTTCTTATTATTTGTTAAAGAAAATTTTAGAAATAATTTATTTTTAGAAAATTTATTTTTAGAATACTTTTTCTAGCATAATCCAAATTTATTGTAATGTCTATTTTCTTTTAAATTGTCAACTTGAATTTCCATGCACGTCTTGATTCCTTAGAAACTCTTATAATACCGCCAACATCATACCGCCTTTTAAATCTGCCACATGCTCCCTTATGTCCTTGATTTCTAGTCACTTAATAATGTCGATTGTCACCCAGAATCCAGGCTTGGGCTTGAATCTGTCCGAGGTACCATGCTTCATCGGACACCCTTATCTAAGGATAGAAGAATGGCTTTAATGAATTCTTGGAGCGATTCCACTTCCGGCAGGAGTAAATCTATCTGAAAGTTCGAGTATTGTTGGTGACTCATCTTTACCAACATATCACCAAAATATTCCCTGGCATATTCGATTAGCCAGACAAGCCAACGCAACGAGTAGAACCACTAATGATAAGCGCTCTTAAAAAAAAAAATTAATAATAATGTCCAGTTTCTGAATAAAATGTTCCTCTAACATAGAATAATGCAATATTTTGAAGTTATTTTCATGCAAAGTCTTATCCAATATTTCATCGATTTAATTACTAATTGTAGTTGAAATTATCAGTTAGTTTATGTTCCTAATTATTTTTTTTATCATCCTAGCTAACATTTAATTAAAATATAAATTAATAAGTTTCATTTTTTGTTAAAATAGGATAAATTTTTAAAGAAAGTGCAGCAAATGTTTGACTTGTCTGCCACCACTATTTATTTGCCAAAAAAACGTTTCTTGATGGTCCAACGAAAGATTTCATGAATTTATTTTTCGTTATCATTTCACTGGTCATCCTCGATCGTTGTTGTTGTTTATCATAAGAGTTTGAAACGAATAATTCTTTTAAAGAAACAATTTTAAAAAAAATTGTTATATGAAAATTGTTATATGTAACGTGAAAAAAAGCGTGCGATATAGTTTCTGTTTTGCTCTGAAAAAAATTCATCGATGAATTTTCAATTTCAAAATAATTTTTTACAGTAAAATGATAAGCTTTTTAGTAAAATCAGAATCATTTCGATTATTTTCACTTTTTTCATTTTCATCATCAATCAGTTAATTGTTTTGTTTTTGTTTTTCGTGGTTAATTCTTTAAATAAATTTTCATTTTATTAGCAAAAAACTTGATAAGACCAATATCATATCATAAATAATAAATATCACATGGTATAGTTTGTTGTACTGCTATTATGAAAATATAACAAAAAACATTTTAAAAAAATCTATTATTGTTCAAATGATTTTGGTTATTGCTGGAAAACTCTTATTTTGAAATTTTTTCAAATGAGTATTTAATAATTCCTTTCATCGTAGTTCTTTCGTTCTTTAATTTCGAATTTTCGATTTTTAGAGCTATGAAAGATTGTAAAAGTAATAATTTCATTGAGCCTTGCGATGAAATTTATAATAATACATTTATAATATTTATAATAATACTGATTTGTTTTATTTCAAAAATGCTCTAATAAAAATTTAAAAAGTTATTAATGATTCAAATAAAATTATTTGCTTTAACCACGAAGAAGATTGATAAGGGAATCCGAATCTGCTTGGTCTTATTTAGTTAGAGAACTATGGTACCCTGGTTATGTCAAAAAAATTAATATGAAAGAAATGTCTAGTGATATTAGAAAATCATTTGTTTCTAATGACTACATTTCATTGCAACAAATTTTTATTTTATTTTATGATTGTGCTTCAACCAATCAGTCAAAAAAATAAATTTTGAGAATAATGAACTGATAAGCCATAAAAAAGATGAAGAATTTTGGAGAGGACAATAAGGATAATGATTAATTTTCAACAATAAATTTAAACCATAATACGTAAATTTAATTTATCCAAAAACTGTGAAAACCATAAAATTATTCAAAAATGGCTAAGCGAAGGCATCTCGAATGGTGTTATCTATCCTCAGATGATTCGCAGGTGAAGAGGAGTTATCTTGAAAGAGAAGCTAACCAAACTGAGAATGATGACTATCATTTGATGAAAAGATTAAGATTTTAAAGAATTTTAAGCAATTTCATTAATGAAACAGTAATTTTAAAGAAAGAGAGAAATTTGAAAAAAAAAAAATTGCTAGAAATTTCATAAAATTTCTATAAATTTTTACAAAATTTAATAAATTATTATTTGTTTCAAATTTGCTAATGAAATTCAGCTGTTCTATGAAAAAAATTTTCTACAATTAAATTTGAAATCTTACTTTGACCTGAAACTGGTTATTTTCTCGATTCTTTATTGCATATTTCCGCCTCAGTTTCTTCTTCAAATGTCTTTTTTCCCTTAATATTGCACAGTCATCGTTGATTTATTGAAGACTCAGTTCATTGTCTTATCACATTTCCTATGGAAGTTTCCTATGGAAATTGCAAATTTTTTAATGCCTCTTAAATGATGTATTTTATCACCAGTACGTTTTAATTTTTTTAAACTTAACTTCAATTTTATCCTAAAATCAGTTCTAAATTAGTTAAGACGCTTGCAAATCGGAAAATCAGTTTAATTAGAAAGATGATTGAAAAGTGATTTGACATTCATCATCACCATAAATGCCACAAATAATAATCAGCCAAAAATATTGTTGAAAATACTGCTTCATCCCTATCAATATTTATATCAGTTATTGAAGTACTAATGATAAAATTTCAAGAAAACATTAAATATAAATAAATAATAATGCAATATATATAGTGTTATTTCTATGAATTTGTAATTCTATGCTGTTGTAATTGTAACTAAGTTTAAAAATTGTATAGTTGCCATTATTATTGAAAATACTCCATAAAACATTAAAGCAAAGCCTTCTCATACCCTAATTCCTCATGCATATAAGAATATTATATGCATTTCTCATGTGTAAGTTGAAAAAACGAGGATTCAGAAGTGTCGAAATGATCCAATTCAACATAACTCCACATAAAACCTAATCAGCCAGGTGGAGATATTTATCTCTTCTCAAAGTTTCCATAGTTTTCATAATTTTCTTAATTTTATTGAATCATCTATTTGTATTTGCAAATTGTATTTTTCTTCAAAAATTTCGTTTTTGAGTTGATCAAAATTGAGAATATAAAGAAAGTATCATTCATATAAAAATCATTTGCAGAAAATTAATAGCCGCCAATTATGAGAATATTGCAAAATCTGGTTTATGTGATGGCGTTGATGTCGGTGTGTACCTTGTTTTTGTAAAATTTTTAAATTTCTGGTATAGTTTTTTGAAAAAATCTACGTAATTTCAATATTTTTCAAAAAGATCATTTAGAAGACCATTTAGAACTGTAAACAAACAACGAAACAAGCTTAGTTATTAAAAATACTAAGGAAACTAGATTTTTTAAAATAAGATTTTCACACTTGAAGATGCTGTGTAATGCAGAAGATTCCACAAGACATGCTGAAAATGTCAGAAGGAAATTGGAATCAGAAATTCGAAATCATAAGATTGTACTGTACTCAAAAAGTTATTGTCCATTCAGTCGAGTAGTTAAGCGAATTCTTGATGGATATCAAATTAATGACTTAAAAGTGATTGAACTTGATTATCAGCAAGATATGTCGCTAATGCAAGTAAGATATTCTATCTGTAATTTTAATTTTAATTCGAGGTTTAATAGAGAAATTAGACCAAATTCATATCGTAGAAATCTAACTAACCTGGATTAGGCAACCGCGGATATGCAACTGTGCATGCACATATGCACAACTATGCACTTATGCAATTGTGCATGTTTATATGAATTTTTTTTTCACTTTATTCCATCATTTTCTCTGTAATAATTTTAAAATTTTTCAAATTTTTTCTGTCAAATTTTAATCACAAAATTCAATTTTTTTCTTTATTTCATTAATAAATCATTTAATTTTTTGCAATTTTTTAATATATTTTTTTTAAAATAATTTTAATTTATTCGATGAAATTTTTAATGAAATGAAATGAAATGAAATTTCCATTTTAATGGTTGAGTTATTGAGAAAAAAACGGGCATTTTTTTATTGTGGCTAGCTTTTGAGAAAATTTTTTTCTTTTTGCCACATCGCATTAGACACAAAAACTTCAAGTGAGACAATACAATTCATTCATAATTTGCTTATTATTGATAAAATTTTGTATTAAAAAAAATTTAATTTTAAAAAATTCAACCTTTAATAGATTTTCATTGATACTTTAATGGCCTCCAAAAATCCAAAAATTTGATCAATAAGAAAAATTTAAATGAAAAAAAAAGATTCCAATTTATCATCGAATAAGAAAGATCATTTGCACTTTTTAATAAAAATTTCGAAAAAAAAACTAAATGAAATAAATAAATGAAAAATTATTTATTTATTCGCGCTCATTAATTCATCGATTAGAAAAAAATATTATTAATAATATTTAGAAAATATTATTAATAAATAATATCATTAAATATTTAAATATTAATTTGAAAGAATTTTTATAGGATATTGCGATTTTCTTCCTAAGCAATTCACTGCTTTAAGCAAATAATCAATTTTAGATAAGCAAATAATAAAAAAAGAATTAATTTCCTAATAATGCGAATGGAAGCTCGAATTCCCATCCGAGCGATGCACCATTGGGCTGAAATTTCATTCATCGAATGACGAAAGCAAAAGAAAATAGAATGGCTTATTTGGGTTTTTGCTCAGCGCCGGTTTGAAGCGCCGATGATGAAATCAGCCAGGAGTAAATCTGCGCTTAAAAAATCCGGGTGATGCTGGAGGCTCATCTATTCTTCAATCGCCAAGTAACAAAATTTATTCTGGGCTATTTACTCTTCAAGCCAATGGAGCGAAAAATGAGTGCTTTTCGAAAAAAAAAAAACTTCCTAATTTAATTATTTAAAATATCGTTTAACTTAACCAGTAAATTAATTAACTTTGAAAGGATCATTTGAAAGAGAAAACTGGGATTCGAACAGTGCCTCAACTCTTCATCGATAGCAAATTTATTGGTGATCAACGTACAGTTAAAGCAATGGAAAATGATGGTACACTGGAAAATGTTATGCTACGCGCAGGTTTAATATTCTGTTTTTAAACGATTGAATTAGATAAATTACTAAAAAAAATTATAAATAAGATTTACAAATAATATATAATAACTAGCAGTAAATAAGTTTTTCAACTGCTTCATTTAAAATAGATTAAAGACAGCTGACCCTTTTACCAAAGATTTGGGGATAGAGATACAAGCGGGTCCCCAGCAGCCACCCGGATTTTTGACATAATGGCAGGTTTACTCCTTCCAAGGACAAAAAATTAAATTTAAAGAAAATTATAAAAAGAAACCATGAAATTTAAAAAAAAATTAGAAATAAAATATATATATATATAAAATATAATATAAATATAATTTATATACAAATATACAAACATATATATTATTTTTATATTTTAATTGATTTGATTTATAATTTATTTAATTTTAATTTATTTTATTTTAATTGTTATTTGGTAAAAAAAAAATTAAAAGCTTAAGAGATCTTAGCTGAATTATGATTAGAAAAATAATTTTTGTGAAAAATAATTCACAAAAATAAATTGAGAATATTTTTTGAAACGACCGCTTAACAAAAATTTTTTTTGAAAAATATGTATGCCCGACTTTAAATACCTTTGGATCCACTCGAATCCCAAATAGCCAGGCGAAGGATGAAATTGTAATACCGGATAACGATAGCTCGAAATATGTTTTTCCGGCTTATGAGACCTTTATGGAACCGTCGCGAAAATCCGAGTCCACAAGTTGAAGAAAATGCTATTTATTTATTATTTGTTTATTATTCATTAAGCATTTATTATTCATTTACTCAGCAAATTGATTTTTAATACTTTAAGTAAAACCTTAAAATTTAAAAATAAACGCTTGAAAATAAATTGAAAAAGATCAGAAAGAATTAGATCGACAGGAATGGAACTTAAAAAGAATTACTAAGATATCATAAGGAAAAATATTGTTAACAACTGAAAGAGTTTTCACAACTCTAAGTAATGCGTGCATTTTTGCGAATTCGCAATTTTTTTTAACGCCCCTGCAAATTAGTAATGCAAAATATAGTTGATAAAATGATAAGTTGATAAAAACGATCGATTAAAGTTTATTATTATTATTGAAAAAAAAACATAGTAAATGAAGTACAATTTATATTCGAATTGTTCTCAAACTAAAGCTAATTTAATTTGAAGGTGTAAAGCGAAGGAAAACGTCGTCGTTGGAGGAAAAAAAGATTGCGAATATTCGTCCTTAAAATATTCGTAGAAATTATATTTTGCAGAAGTGAACTCGATAATGCACTAATAAGACATTCATTTCAAAATCTCTGGAAATTATTTGCCTTAAAATTATTTCCAATAATAATTTCATTATACTCGCTTAAGCATAAACGAAAAGTCAAAGTCCGTTTATGAATGTTCCATTCCATTGATAAAAATCATGGATGAATCTAAGAAAAAAAAGTAGAACTATTTTTTATTTTCCCACTGAAACATATTATCTATAAAAGTTTGCTGTTAAAATAGAAAATTTAATGGACATAAATATAAAAATATAAAAACATAATATGTGTTAATAAAAAAATTTTTTTATTTATATATTCTTTTTTTTGTATGAATTTTATTTTTATTGAAATAAACAAGAAAAAATAAATTTCATAGAAGAAATTCAAATGAAAATTACAGAATTAAGGAGATTAATTAATTAATTTAATTAATGCAATTAATCAAAATAAATAAATCAAAAATAAAAAAACATAAAAAAATGAAAAATGGAAAAAATTTATCGGTTAGTGACATTTTTTAAAAAATTATTAATTTATTTTCTGTTTTTTTCCTTTCAATTTCCATTTACTTATCTTATAGCTTATCTTTTTCATAATCAGTTGATGAATAATAAAAATCAAAGAGGAGTTGAACCGGGGATTTTCTTGATTTTCTTTTGTACCACCAATAAACCTCGTGGCATTCTAGATAAACGTTGTTAAAGCAATGGTCTTGATAACAAAAAGAAAATGAAAAATGTAGTGAAAGAACGAATATAGATGAGAGAATATCTATTTTTTATATCATTAAGCCGCAAATTTCCTTTTCCTCTTCTTTTATTCGCTATGAACGAAGGAAATTACACTATTTATAAGAAGTAGGACAACGCAAAGCAGTCGCAACTCTGGCCAATGAAATAATCCGAAATAAGGAAAAAAACCCCGTTAAGACTGTGAAAGACCTTCCTTTAAATCTAAATCTGTAATGGAATCCCCAACTGGAACGGAAATAGTGTGAGACTAAAAATAGGGAAAATATTGGCTGTACTGAATCCGAAAATGGAAAAAAGCAGCTACATCAAAACTCCTGAATGCCATACCAAAATGAATATAGGATTAGCGAAGATAATTAGGAAAGCAATAAAATTTGTCTTGAATAATTACGTCGGTAATTCTGTTCAGTTTAGTGCTATAAGTAGGTAAACACTGATAAGTACATACTGATGGAGTAAGGAGTGCGTCTGACGTTCTAATTTATTCCAATGGTGAATGTGTCGACTAAGGCATCGCCTTAGTCATTTTTAGCTTTTCCCATCTTCAACGCATTGCATTGCTCCTAGTTTTATTCAAATTTAGCGAAATATATTTCGCATAGTCAAGATCGACAAAACAAGGCAATATTTTACAATCAGATCGTCCGTCGCATCTTCAAACAATCGAAAAGATAAAGTTAGAGAAAATTTTAACTTTTCTTTTAAAAGTCCTCACTATTACTCGTTAAACTCGCTCCACTTACTTGTTGGAATTGAGCAATATGCGAGGGAGTCACTTGGCGATAGAAATACAGATGAGTGGACAGCATCACACGGATTTTTGTAGAAGTTTTCTTATGCGGATCGAACCTCAGCAATTTGCGCCACCAATTGAGCAATAACCTACTGAGCCATTCTATCCCCCGATATTTTTAATAATGAAATATAATTTAGTCTGATTTTAGACGAAATAAGAATATTTATATATTCAATTACTTTAACCGACTTTTTAAAGTGAGCTAAGAAAGCGAGTTCTACATATATATAAAATCCCTCTATCATCTCCTGTGGGTGGTGTGGTCCATCCTCAGGACGGGATATTCCTGGAACTCCCTCGAGACATAAATGTTGGTGCATTGTGAATAATATTTTGCTCTAACAATTCCACCGTAGGTTTGATTCTAGAGTAATTGCCAGATGAATGCAATAAGTGCCACATTTACTAACCAATTATACCCTAAAAAATTACATGCGTGGACAAAATAGAGTTGGCGCCACGGTTTTTCAGATAATATTCATTCATCCGACTGCTATAAGCATCAAACGATTAAGAACTACTGAAGATTTCATTCATGCATTCTATTGTTCGACAGATGCAGTATATCTTTTTTTTTAAGAGTCCTCACCATTCGGATTTTTTTACAGGTATAGTCCTGCGGGGAATAGAACCTCAGGGAATCCTGCGGGAAATCGGCATACCTTTGGTTCCTTAGTTCCTTTAATATAATTATCAATTTCAGATTAAATTATGGCGAATCTTACTATCATTCTCATCATTCTCTGTGTATCGAAATATTTTAAATGAAATATGTCCAGAATTTGACTTTGAGTAGGATGGCCGATTATAAGCCGTAAAAAAATGAACCGCCATGGAAAGTGCGATAATTGTGCGTTTCAAATCTGCCACTTTATTATATCCAACTTGTCATCCGTCTCTAAAGAAAAGCATAAGCAGAGAAATTAGGGTGAAAATAAATAAATAACCACAAATTGCCACAGCCCGATTATTTCCTTCATGTCGAGTGGAGTTGATAACGACAGAGAATTTTATTTATCAGAGAATTTTGAATCAGCTTGATAACTCGGCTGAATGACGAGGAATTAATGAGAGAAATAAGCGATGATATAGCGACGCAAATGGACGAGAAGATTACAAATACGAAATGGTAATTACAATTACCATTACGTGCTGGATTTATAGAGGAATAAAAAACAGCTCTTCAAATATATAAAAGGGATGCTGCAAAGGATAAATTAATGGGCGACAGCTTCTCTAATTTCAAAGGTTATGTGTACAAGATTTGATTAACGTCCCGCAATTCAAATTATTACTATTTATATAACTAAAATATAATAATAAATATAACTATTTATACAGCATCAGAAGTTTCTCTACACGTTTACTTTACTATTTCTTTACTGATATTGCATCCGATATTGGAATAGTTGAATAGATAATAGTTGGAACTGAGTATTTTTGTGATTCCTTCATCGAGACTTCCGAATCACTAATTTAACGGTCATGTCTGATGCAAAGAGGGATGAGGCAAAGAAAAAATGCCAATGTTTTAGCTGTGGTTTTATTCAGTGGCCCAGAAATAAGATATTCCAAATTACTTAATTTGCCGAAATGAATGTATGAAGCCATCTAGACAAAATGATCATTTGGAAACCGTTCATGGTGATATAAGAGTCCTCACCATTACTGATTAAACTCGCTCCACTGGTTTGTCGCATTGGGCAATATGCCAGGGAGTCCCTTGGCGATAGAAATAGTGTCGGGTGAGTCGCCAGCTTCATCCGTATATGTTTACTCCTGCGGGGATCAGCATCGGCGCTCCAAACTGAGCAACAACTCACTGAGCAATTCTATCCCACGGTGGTATAAATGACGAAGATATATTATTGCAATGAAAGGACTCTCAAAGGATTATGTTTCGTGGTTTAGCTTCTCCATTAAAAAAGTATCGTACCCCATCGTTCGTCATCGTACACTTCAAACTTGGGTAATTAAACCTTTATTAGAAAGAACAATGAAACTGCGACAATATACATCATATCTCTCGCACAATACAAAAAATATACACAACAAAATTACATACGAAGAAAAAATAAATTGTACCAAAAAACAAGAAATGAAAGAAACAGCCACTCTTTAACTGAAATTTGTCGTCATTGCTTGAAATCGATTGAAATTGTTGATCCTTCATTTCTGATCTACTGAATCGTATTTTGAGCACAACTATATTTTTGAAGAAATTCAGTGGTTCACAAAAAAGATATTACCGATTTATTTGATTTGCCAAGGCGATCACTAATGATTGCATGAACCCATCCGTCTGGCTAAATAATCATTTGAAGAGTTCATGCTGAAAAATCAAGAACAGATTTTTAAAATGGCTATTGAAATCGCATAGAATTAGTGAAAAACTGATTCTT